TCACATGTGGCTCCCGCCTGAGCGCCGCGCACATTCGTGCTAACAAATTGTAATTATCATGCTCCCGTTATTCCCGTTGTTTGGCATGCTTGCGCCGCAAGGGCGCGCTGTTCGAGCCAGGATGGCTCCGGACAGCTTGCAATGCACAGAAGGCGACGCCGGCCACACGAATCTTTCGCATCACGCGCCTGACACCCACAAGGGAAACATACGCTATCAAGCGGCCATCCGTGTAGCCGTTGGGAAACGCGACAACCGGTCCTCCTCCTTCTGCCACGTAGCCATTTTGGCCCAAGCCCTCCTCGGAGCCTGCTGGGCTCCAGAGGGGGTGAGAGCCCTGCAGCCCGCGACTCCTCCGCGGGCACGTCTGGCCTCGCCTGTCCGCTGGCGGCGAGGTGGGGACGCACACGCCGAGCCGTTGTCGGAGAGGGAAGAGGTGGGCACGCTTTCAGCGGTGGCGCGCAAAGGAAAGTCTTCAACTCCTGAGGTGCCCCCTCTCGGCGCGGCGCCTCCCCTCCCCCCCTCACGCGCGATGGCGCCGGTTCCCGAGAGGTGGCGAGGCCAGGCAGGAGCCGTCAGAGTTCGACGTCATCAGATGTGCTGTCGAGTACATAGGAGGCATCAAGTCCTGGGAGCTCTTGACTTCCGCGTGCGTGTCCGTTCGATTCGGCTCCAAGAGCGGCGTCGAGCTGGACCTCTCCACTCTCTTCAGCAGCTTCGCCCCGAAGATGGCATTGCTGAACAAGAGTGCCAGCTTGGCATCGTCATGCACGCGCATCCGTTCCTCGATTATCAATCGACGTTTGGCGGCACGGACGAATCACAGCACCCCGCTCCACAACCGCGATGGCACGAAGGCCAGGCTCCGACAAGGCACGGGAGTGCGCATGACAGTTTCGCAGGCGGCGGGGGCGAGCAAGCCTGGTGGGGCAGCACTCCGCTCTCCTCCCATCTACTCCGCGAAGGCCGATTTTGCAAATCTCAGCTGAAGCTGGCAGCAGCAGTGCACCAGAGAGTGCGGAACTATTTGTGGTACTTGCTTGTCCTCCTCCTCCCCCTCCTCATCATCATCACCATCATCCTCATCCTCATCCTCATCCTCATCCTCATCCTCATCCTCATCATCCTCATCATCCTCATCATAATCATCAGAACGAGGAGGCTGAACCGAACGGTCATTCACTGTCCCTGGGTGCGTGGCTGAAGTGGAATTCCGCGATGCGGATTATTGTTGTTGTTGTCGTTGCTTGTTGTTTGTTGTTTGTTTGTTGTTTGTTGCTGTCGTCGTCCCACCCGCGACCCGCCCCGCGACCCACCCGCGACCCACACCGCGACCCACCCGCGACCCACCCGCGACCCACCCCGCGACCCACCCGCGACCCACGCCGCGACCCACCCGCGACCCGCCCGCGACCCGCCCGCGACCCACCCGCGAGCCACATCGCGACCCGCCCGCGACCCACCCCGCGACCCACCCGCGACCCGCCCGCGACCCGCCCGCGACCCACCCGCGAGCCACCTCGCGACCCGCCCGCGAGCCACCCCAAACCCCCCCTGGCGACCCCCCTGCGACCCACCGGCAACCCACCCGCGACCCACCCGCGACCCACCCGCGACCCACCCGCCACCCACCCGCGACCCACCCGCGATCCACCGCGACCCGACCCCCGCGACCCACACAAAATGTTCGGCGCCTGCGGCAAATTTCTTTTGCATTCGTTTCAAATGGAGAACCTGCGACCCACCCGCGACGCAAACCGCGCCCGCGACCCACCCGCGACCCACCGCGACGCACCCCGCGACCTACCCAAAATTTTCGGCGCCTGCGGCGGGCTTCTTTTGCATCGTTCCAGGTGGAGAACCTACGACCCACCCGCGACCCAAACCGCGTTCAGTGTACAACTCAAAACTTTCGACGCCTGCGGCGGGCTGTTTTTGAATTCCTTCCAGGTGGAGGTGGAGAGCCCGCGACCCACCCGCGACCCAAACTACGTTCACTGAACAAGCCAAAAACTTCGGCGCCTACGGCAATTTTTTTTGCATTCGTGAGGGGGCGGGAACGGGCGACGCGGGCGTCGAGCCGGCGGGCGCCATCGACAGGGAAGGTGAGGGGAACGAGGTCCGCCGGCTCGACGCCCGCGTCGCCCGCGCCCGCCCCCTCACTCTTATCCGCAATCGCGGGGTGCTACGTAATCATCATCATCATCATCATCATCATCATCATCATCATCATCATCATCATCATCATCATCATCATCATCATCATCATCATCATCATCATCAAATCATCATCATCATCATCATCAATCATCATCATCATCAGCACAGCATCAGCATCAACATCAGCATCAGCATCAGCATCAGCATCAGCATCACAGCATCAGCATCAGCATCATCGTCAGCAATCAGCATCATCATCATCATCACCATCACCATCACCATCACCATCATCATCATCAGCATCATCATCATCATCACATCATCATCATCATCATCATCA